CTGTTTTTAAAAAGTTATTTTTAGAATTTTATTAAAATCCTAACACATAAAACTAGATTTATGCATTCTTTTTTTCTCCTTCTCTTTTATTAGATTGTTTATTTACAAGAATAATTTCATATTTACAAGTTTATAAAAAATATGTGAACCAACTACAAGGCAATATTTATTTATTACCATATTATAAAGAAATAACTATAAAGACATTTTTTTTATACAATTTTTTTTTATTCATATATTTATAAAGAAGAAAAGAAAATGTCCAGAAGAAAAGAAAGTTTTAATAAGCCCATAACTAATTATAAATTTTGAAAAAATGCATTTTTCGGGCATGTCTTTCATTTGCTTTTGCCATATCAATTCACTAAAATAGATGGCAGGAATCTGGATTTATACCACTCCACCTGATAACAAAAATGCTACACTATTAAACTGTTTATTTACAAGAATAGTGTTTAACATTTTTTTTTTAAATAAAAAAAGAAAAGTAAAAAAGAAGTATAATCCAGTTTCAGATATCAGGACTTTAATGAAATTCTAAAAATGACTTTTTAAACCAAAAATTATCAAGTGAGTTTATAAGTAATAAAGTCAAGAGAAAAAAAAACTATCCTTTTTAGGGACAGTTTTTTTCTGGGTACATATGTTAAAATTTGTCAAGTATTTTTTTCTCAGTCTTGTAGTTAAAAATGAAAGAAACAGAAAGAAATAGTATTTCATCTACAACTTCAACTATAGTTCTAATGTCTCCGTCTGAACTCTGAAATTTTATTTATATTCGGATTTATTTATTTTTCTCTTCAATAGGAGGAGGTTTTTCTATCATACAGTTCACACGCGACCCAGATCTTTTAAACTGGAGTAGAAGTTTATCCTCGTTCCCTGTTTAGGGTTGGGTATACGGTTCTTTGTAAAGGCTTTTCATCCTCAATAGGATTAGATAGGTTAAGATTTTAAAAACATGTGAGCCAACTGCAATGCAATATTTATCATTTACCATATTATAAAGAAATACCTACGAAAATGTTTTAATTCATAAAAAATGTCTGTGAAAAAGAGAAAAAGAAAATTTAAATAAACACATGACTACGAGTAATTGTAATTTTGAAAAAAATTCTTTCTTCTTTTTCATTTGTTTTCGCAACATAAATTCACTAAAAAGTTTGCATTTGGAGTTATACTTATTTCTCGAGAAATGACAGCAAAAATGTTAAACACTACGTAATTGTTACACTGTTTATTTACAAGAAAAGTGTTTAATACTTTTCTTGTCAATTCTTTACAAAAAAAAGGGAATGCATAAATCCAGTTTTGGGGTTTTATTAAATCGCTAAAAATAACATTTTAAAGCAATAAAAATTGCCGTGGGATTATGTCGTAATAACGATCTTAAGGAAAAAACCGTCCTTTTGACACACCGTTTTTTTTTTTTTTGTTGTTCGTTTTGTGACGTACAGTCATTAATAAATAAGTACAACTGAAGACTTTAATGTTAAGATAAAACAGTATTTAATTACAGCCGCAAATAAATACTTAACAAGAACATAGAAATAAAAGTCAACCAAAGATAATTAACCATTTCAGTGAATACCTTGTTAGTCGCGCGGTTCGGCTTAACATCCGGTAAATCCTAAATCAAAACCCAAATCATCGACGCACAGTAATTCACACTAATTCGACTGGATAGTTCCACTCAATAGTCGCTGAATAATCACCGCAGTCAGTTGCCTGACATCGCTATTTATACACGTGGCGGAAACATATTCGTAAGTCCAGAATGTCACGCTTGAACCTCGGTGTTGGTAGTTAGTCATTTTCTTCTTATATGTGTTATGGTAATTTACCCACGCAAGCATGGAGTCTACCAGCTATAAATAGGAGCAGGTCCTACCTTTTAGAGAGTGAAGTTTCCAGCAGTCAGCTCTAACATTCGGACCGAACATTCTTGCTGTAACACTCTCGTTTGTATATGTTTGTATTACTGTTTCTGTTAATATATTTGTTTAACTCAATTCCTCTCTTTGTGTCTTTATTTCTGGCCCTATAATAACGGTACAGCAATATGACAGCTTTTTTTTTGTTTTGTTTTTGGTGATGAATTGTTTCTAATTTTTGAAGTATGAATGTCTTGCGGCACCATAGATGAAACAACCATCGTCAAGTTTGGATCTGACAATTGTTCCGTAAATTTTTAAAACTGATTTTTTATCAGCTCCCCAATCAGTGTAGGCTATAATTCTGAGTAGGTTGATTGCCTTGTTAAATTTTTGTCTTAAGTATTTTATATGGGAGATGAAAGACAATTTCTTATTAAATATAATGCCCAGAAACGTGGGTTTGAGGAGCAGGGAACGAACCACCTCTTAATTGCTGGTGTTCCCAGATCTACCCTGACCTGGGTTGGTAGCAACTGTTAGGTTCCTAGCTATGGGCAAATAGTCAATCCCCAAACTGGGGTCAAAACACTATGAAAGTTTAAAAATAGGTTTTAATTGCATCAAGACATTTTTGTAAAAAAATATTGCCAGCAATTTAGTTTTGAAGAAAAAATATAATAAGCAATACATTTTTAGAAAAAAAATATTACCAGCAATAAAAATCTTGTCGGCATTATTAATCCATTGAGGTCGATATGCCATAAAACAAACCAAATTATATTTATTCGTTATTGCTATTTCCTTTCCATTCAGCGCTAAACATGGATCATTGTGCATTTTATGGAGGTTGCAGAAATGCACACACTACGTTTTGGTTTGGTAAAATCGAAAACAATTTATTTATTTTTTGCTTATTTAAACACAGTTGCAATTTGTGCTCTATGGGGTGCATATGTTTTCATCGGCAACATATTAAAAATCATCCACGTTCAGTGAGCAATCATTTCCAGAATCGACGCTTTTAATAATGTTATTATTTTTTATATTAAAAAGAGTTAATGGCAAGATGCTTCCTGGGGGCGCATCGTTTTCCAGCTCCTTTAAGTCAGAGAGAGTGCTTCCCATGCGTACTTTAAAGTTTCGATTTTCTAGAAAGTTTTGAGTAGCATTCTGCCTTTCAGTCCTAGTTCTCGAAGGTCTCTCATAATTTCATACTTCCAGGTGGTATCATATGCCTTTTCCAAAAAAAAAAATTGCAACTAGGTGCTCTTTTTTCATGAATTCTTCTCTTATCTTCTCCCACCACGTAAAATGTTAATTTATTTTTAAAATTCACCGAGTACAAGACCCAAGAGCATCTCAAAGTAAAGGATTATTGGATTAGATATGTCATATGAACGTAAGAGGAGCTGTTAGGATGTAAATAGCACAAGGATATTACGGACAGATAACGATTGACCCGAGACTGGAATAAATTAAGAACGCTTTCGGAGTGGAACGCCCTAATAGGTAAAGGAGTACATAGGAAATAAGGGTGATTCAACTCTGTGGAAGTAACAAGACAGATTTGGGCTGTAAAGTTCTTGACTGCTGACACTTCAGAATGGAGCTTGTCTGGCCATTTGTCATGAAATTAGAGCTAGACTAGCGATAAGCGTATGACGAAGGAATCACATCCATTAGAAAGATGATGTTTGCGGCCCGATGTTCAACAAGAGATGTGCAGAAATAAACAGTCAATCATGCATACACACTCACAGAGGTGACAGCAAGACTAAAAAAAAGTTGTGGGCAATACGGCATGCCGATTTTGTGGCTGTGATATTGCCCACAATTTGAAAGTTGTGCTTTAACATAATAAATAGTAATACAAAAGTTTTTATAAATCGTTAACCAGTTTTGAGAAAACGAGTTTAAAGATTAAGTTTAACTTCAAAATCGTAGCGTTGGAATTTAATTCCGGTGATCTGGGAAAGCCTTATTACACAGCCTTATAAAATTTATAATTTACTGCAACATTACAAATTTTACATGAACAAGATGCATGGCACACGAACATTATTACTTAATCATTGTGTCATCAAATAAGACCTTCATTTACCTCAAAGGGAAATTATACTGAACAAGTTAGCTATATTATGATGTAATATGTTATACAGTGCAAGAGTTTTAGTGTGATTTTCAATAAACAATGCAAAATTAAAATATTTTATCTTATAATTTGTTCCCAGCAGTATTATGGTGTTATATACACTTTTATCTAATGTTTGTATTTACTATGAGCCAACAAATGCAATGTATATTTTGCTTGTGGAGTTTCATAACGAAAATTCTGGTTTAAATAATTTTTTCAATCAATGTATCTTATACAAAAGATATCAACTTTATTTGGATTTATTTACTTTTGAAAGAGTAAAATTTTGATGTCAGTTTGTAAGCAAAAACCTTCGGAAATTAGGTATTTCTATATATTTTTCAGACGATATTTAAAACTAAATGCTCAAAATTTGGTAAAATATATGAAACTAATTTTTGATGTGAGTACTTATCATGTACTTATCATATTATCATGTCAGTACTTATGCTATCATTTAGATGTCACTACTTATCATGTACTTATGTTGTTATCATGTCAGTACTTATCATGTCATCATTTAGATGTCAGTACTTATCATGTTATTATTTAGATATTAGTACTTATCATGTACTTATCATGTTATCATGTCAGTACTTATGTTATCATTTAGATGTCAGTACTTATCATGTTATCATTTAGATGTCAGTACTTATCATGTACTTATCATGTTATCATGTCAGTACTTATCATATTATTATTAGATGTCAGTATTTATCATGTACTTATCATGCTATCGTGGCAGTACTTATCCTATTATCATTTAGGTATCAGTACTTATCATGTACTTATTATGTTATCATGTCAGTACTTATCATTTAGATGTTAGTACTTATCATGTACCTATCATGTTATCATGTTAATAGTTATCATCTTATCATTTTGATGTCAGTACTCATCCCAGTTTTAACATTGAGTGCAATGTTGATTTTCCAAAAAAAAAAAAAAAAAAGTGAAAACTCAACCTAGTGGAGAACGTTTGTACTTACCTAACGGTAGCTGGGATGTCTAAACAGCCGGTGCGTTTAATCCCGATTCTTACATTTCCTTCATTTTCCATGACTGCATACGAACTGGCTGTAAATTCAATGACCGCTTTGCGCCCCTGCTCACTTAAATCGTCAGGTGTCTCACACTTTAGGCTGATCCTCGAGTCACGGATACTATCGCGTCCTCCTTGCTGGATGCCGAGGAAAATCTGACAATAATAATAACACAAAATTATACAAAAATTTTACAAGATGAATCACTTCATGGAAAGATAATGCAAAAGTTAGACTGTCTTTTCGTCGTGGCCTTTTATCAATGCGAGTTCAAAGTAATACTGGCAGGAAAAAGGAAACACTAGTTTGCGGGGCATACCCGTCCAGAAAACGGAGATTAGATACAGAGGATAGTAGAGACGTATTAATACAGAACTGAGATTGTTTAGTGATTAAAAAAGGAATGTCTTTCGGGTGGCAGAAATAATAAATGAGAGATATTTTTATCTATCTTGTATTGGTTTTGTTTTTCGAGTGAAGGTATCAGGCAAGTTACATCAGCGGTTTTACGGTGTATATCATGGTGTGGCTCATGGTGTTTCTATAATTTCATCACCTGTAAAGAGTACAGCGCTCTCTCTATCTCTCTCTCTCTATCTCTCTCTCTCTCTCTCTCTCTCTCTCTCTCTCTGTTGAAACTTGACTAATGCATGGAATAATAATGCAACACAAAAGGTACTTAGAACAAAATGTATTGAAACAAGAAAGTGTACACAATATTTACATATTTGTATATTCCTGGTAAGACCGTTCCTGGAGAATGTGTTGACTGAGTCGCAGTCGGGCAGAGTCTCTGGTTGAATCTCTTGATTCCTCCCTCTCTTCCCGGTACCAACCATATTTATGTGGTCGGTACTCCACTATGCAAATTAGGTGGATCCTACCACAACACTCTCTCACACACACACACACAGCTTGTCACCGATCAGACAGGGAATACTACCTAATGTTGCGTCTCTATTCTCATTTGTGTCGGTGCGAAAAAAAACTAGGAAAAGCTTGTTGCATGTTCACAAGGAGACGAAAAGTAACTATAAACGCTACACAAACCCTGTCTCTAATATATTTCGTTGTTTATTCAGGGCTTCCTTTACACGGTCTGGGTAGGTAGGTGGGTAGGTAGGTAAGTGATTCAGGGACAACTTTTGACCGCGACTTTTGATTTATCCGACTAATAGATCGGCTTTTTCCCTAAACCAGAGAGGACTCTTACTTTCTGCTGCCAAGACCCATTTCTGCGTCACGACGGGCATCTGGCAGCTAGAAAGCGCGGCGTCGGAACTATCTCGACGGTCAGCCTTCGTCCGACAACGGGCAAACCGGTACTACTTTGCGATATAGTCAGCCCCCCCCCCCAACAATGGTTGGTCCCGAACTCACGCCAATCCCAAATGGAACCGTTAGTATACACCCGTGACTGGAAATCCTCAATGTCCAGATTGTTGTCACTTGACCTCAAAAGTTTTAATTTATTCTTCTATTATTTTATTCTCTTTACACATACCTTATCACTGGTCATGAAACATTAATCACTTCAAACTGATATAAAATCCCACACCAAACCCTTCAATGTGAGTTTGCTAATACTAGTGCCACACACTATCAAATCCGAATAATTCTATAACGTGGTAATACTACAAGGGGTCTGGTTTTTCAACAGAATAAATATCATCCAGAAAATCGTTACTCTTCTACAATCCCCAATTTACCTTTATTAAGAATCTGTTGGATAATAACACAGGCTTAGATTTTTTTAAATGGTGGATGGGATATTTTGGATAAATTTGAACAATTTGGGCGTGAAGAATCCAAAAATAACATCCATTTTCCATCATTATTTTTAGTTTTCCTTTTTCAGATCAACGTGTCCTATGTAGCTGAAGTTTCCATCACAAATGTTTGATACAGATTATGTAAAGGGATTATATTGCTTCTATTCATAACTTAGGTCAATACAATTAATTTTTCATTATCACCATGCATTATATCAAAGGACTTTATAATGTTTTCATTCCTAACTTAGGTCAATACAATTACACTGTCATTGTCACCATGCATTATATCCAAGGACATTATAATGTTTCCATTCTTAACTTAGGACAGGAAAATTACATTGTTATTATCACCTTGCATTATATCAAGACTTTATAATGTTTCCATTCATAACTTATGTCAATACAATTACATTGTCATTATTACCAGCCATTATATAAAAGGGTATTACAAAGTTTCCATTCTTAACTTAGGTCAATACAATTATATTGTCACTATCACCAAGTATTATACACAATGATTTTATAATGTCGTCCTGGATATGACGATAAACTAAACTGGCAGCAAGACCTCTGATCGGGAGATTGAAGATTTTGAGGACCGTGGAACCACCTTATAATAACTATTGTTCCCAAGTCAACCCTGACCCGAGGTGGTAACACCTGTTAGGGTCCCAGCTATGGGCAAATAGTGAACCCCCAAACAAAAATCAAGAGTACATTTTGATAATAAAATGACCAACAATACATATTTATAATAAAATGACCAACAATACATTTTTATAGCAAAATAACAATCAATGCAACATTAAAAATATAAAAATAGATTTTTATATGAAAATAATTAACAATAATTTTTTTGATCTACAAAATATATATCTAAAAAACATACTCTTACTTTGAAAGTATAAAATTATCTAGAAAATCTGTGGTTGAAAGCATAAAATTACGCACAAAATATTTAGATTTCGGTATTAAATTACTCATAGAGGTGTTGATATGCCGCTAAACAAAATCAACAAACCAAACCAATCAAAATATTTAAATTTCGGCATTAAATAACCCATAAAGGTTGATATGACAATAAACAAAAATCTACCAAACCAATCAAAATATTTAGATTTCGGCATTAAATAATCCATAGAAGTTGATATGCCGCTAAACAAAATCAACCAACCAACGACTTTATAATGTCTCCATTCACAACTCGTATCAATGCAATTACATTTTCACATTTGCCATACACGAATGAATTTTATATTTCCATGCATAACTTAAGTCAATAAAATTGCATTGTTATTATCACAATGCATTATATCCAAGGACTTTATAATGTTTCAAGAAAATAACATATTTCCTGGAAAATAAACCCAAGGAAATATTTCTTAAATATCATTTCTTGGAGAATAATCACAAATAAATAATTCTTTAATATCATTTCAAGTAAAATAAACCGCAAGAATATTTCGTAAATGTCATTTCTTGGAGAATAAGCATGAAGAAAAGTCTCGGAAATTTCTTTCTATATTCTTTCTTTTCCCACAAGTTGTCTGTCCATTAATAGAGGAACACTTACGAAATAGTGAATTGCTACAAATAAAATAAGCGAATCGAAACAAAAGAATCTATGTGAAACTTCCTTCATTTTATAACTACTGTTTTCTTACAAAGTCATTTTTTTATTAATGTGCAGCTTCATGTGACATTTTGCATCGCATTATAAATGTATTAACAGTGACGCAGAATACTGCTGTATCTCCCCAAATCCACCTGCCTTTTCCTCTGACATTTCGTGTTTCCATTCCATGTTTTTCAAACTGTCATCAATCACATGCTACAGCCAATGAATACAAAATATTATAACATCTCAAAATGGCTGACGAGTTCGGGTGGGGAAGAAATATTGGCGTTGCTTGTAAAAGTTCTCTTTGTTCATTTATGTGCGTATTATTTTCATATATATATATATTTTTAAGATTAGAAGAATTCATTACGTTTTTTTACTAAACTTTTTTCTAGTCTGACATTTTGATTTGATATAATCTTGGTTTTGTGTATGAAGGCGTATTTGGACTAAGTATAGGGGGGAAAAGGAAAAGAAAAACGAGAGAGAAACGATAAGAAACAGAGAAATATGAAAATGAAACAGCGAAAGGTTGAAATAAAGAAACAAAGAAATAACTGAAGCTAAGAAATAGGCATGTCTAAATATCTCCCCAGACCTCAAATAGAACTCATATATACGACCTATCGCTAAAGATGCTGGAAAAATGGTCGGTTCTTTGTACGGCTCCAGTAAGTATCTGACACCTCTTGACACGCTCTATCTTTACAAGAGCCAGATCAGATCAAAAATGGAGTATTGCTACTATATGTGGGCTGGAGTTGCTCAAATCTCACTAGCATGTCTTGATAGAATTCAAAACGTATACACGGTCTTGCAGGTGATGAATTATTGTTCACCCTTTCTCAAAGACAATATATCGCGAGCCCGTCGCTACCCAATCGCTATTTCCATGGTATGAGTTATGACGTGCTACATTCCTCAATCCCACCAGCCAGTAACTTCAAAAATGGGACCCACCGTGCCACATACACAAGGGTGAATCATCCACACTCCCTTCGTATTCCATTAGTAAGTTATTTCTCCTATAGCTCTAATTAAAAAGAATGTACAATTAGATTTTTCTCTTCAATCTATTGATTAAATAACAAGACAAGATGTATTCTCAAGCCATGATTGATAACCAGTGGAGAAATAAGAAGCTATTAACATCCCCAACAACAATCATGGCAACGCGCTGCTTCTTCTATGGTCTTAGGTGATCATAGCTCTCCACAACTTCCTGTCCTTTGTAGATCTTAATAAAGTTTTGTCTTTTTGCTATCTCGCCTTATCCCTGTTTTGCCAGGCATTTACACATGCTTGTTAGGTAGATTACGCGCTGTTTTCTTCTGTCTCTCTTGCCTTCAATATGTTTTGTGAGTATCAAATTTCCTAAGCTTTCTTTCCTCATTATGTGCCCTAATAATTTCAACTCTTTCTGAATCTACGTATGAGTGTCCTTTTGTTTTCATTTTCTCTAAAACTTCGTCGTTGCTCACATGTTCAGCTCATGGTATCATCAAAATCCTTCCGTAGAACCACATGTCTGTTATCTGAAGCCGATTCTTAATCTGTGATAAGATTGTCCAGAATTTCCTGCCTTATAAAGAGGACTGATATTATATAACATATCATTACTCTTTTCTTTGTTTCTAACGAAATTTTCCTGTTTCTTAATATTTTGCCTTGCATTTGGAGGGCATCTTTGGCTATCCCAAAGCGTTTTCGGATTTCGGTGTCGCATTTTCCATCATCTGTTAAAACACTTCCGAGATAT